ACCTGGCTTGCCTCTCTATTGTATCCAAAATGCAAAGCTAATTACTCAGGTACTTTACCTTTGCCTTTCATTTTGCTTGACTCGGGAGCTTGATTTCGATCTACTCAAGCATCCATTAAAGACACGTACAATATCAGTTGTTAGTAATTTACTAATAATTATACTTAAATAATACTCAAGAGTACATATTATTAATTTTTTATAACAATATCAACCTATCTTAAAATTTGGTTCCATAATATCGATACTTCTACCATGGTATCGATACTACTATATTATGGTACCGATACTCTATTACGGTATCGATACCATTTTTGCATTCTGTTATCAATGGTATCGATACCTTCATCATAGTATCGATACCCATTTTTGGCATTGATACTGCTTGCATCAGTATCGATACTAATCTGTTGATTCTTCCAATTTTAAGCCTATATTATCGGTACTGTTCTATCAGTACTGATACCCTTACCAAGATTTTCTATTTCTCAGCCTGATTCTTACCGAAATTTGGTCAAATTTCCTTATGTTTACACCCAATAATACTATTAAACTCTTCTTTACTTATCCTTACTAATTTTCCTTCATCTAGCTTCTTTAAACATCTAAAATCTCACAAGAACATTCAAATCTAAGAATCACACCATTTTTCTAACTTGTTTTTAAACCCATCCAATGTTTATAATCTCTCATTTACTTCTTTGTCAAGTTAAATATACTAATAAACGTGTGTAAAAATTCATATTCTAACATATCATTTAAAAACCCATTTCCTTAAGTCTCCAATATTTCATCCATTTCTTAGTTTTGATCCTATGAAATCTTTCATTAAGCTTCTATCATACTCAATGCTTCAAAAACTGACCAAAAATGAAAGAATAAACTAACCAATTAAAATCTTGCCTTTGGCGATGGAGAGACTATCCAAGGGAAAGAAGAAAAAAAAAGGATGACTTTTAGTTAACTTACTTTTTCCCTTTATTTCCTTACTTTAATACCTTAATAACAATGAATTTTAAATTCATTTTATTCCAAATGACTAAAACATCCTTTTAATCTTCCATTGCTATAATTTAGTCTAAACCACTAATCCAAAACATTTCTCATCTTTTATCATTTACTCAAATAAATCCTCAAATTTTAAATCATTTCGATAAAGTCTCTGATTCGATATTTAGGGCATTACAAGCTCATTAAGCCAAGACTAGACATCTCAAATTCCTCTTGCATACTCAACTTGAATGTTGAAACATCTTCAATATTGATTTCCATTACCAACAAATCATCAACACAAAGAGAAACAACAAGAAAATTAGTATTCTTATCTTTCTTAAGATACAAAGTAGCTTCATGAACACTCATTTGAAAACCTAACTTCTGCAAGTAAGAATCAATTTGAAAATACCAAGCCCTTGGTGCTTGTTTTAGGCCATAAAGGGGCTTTCTTGAGCTTATACACTTGATGTTCCTTTCCAGTAACTAAAAAGCCTTAATTTGATTCACATATGTCTTCTTCAAGCTCTCCATTCAAGAAGGTTGATTTTATATCCAAATGGAATACATTCTAAACCAAGTGACATGCAATAATAATGAGTAATCTTATGGTATCAAGTCTAGTAATCAGTGAATGTGTCACCATAGTCAACTCCACCTATCTGTGCATACCCCTTTAAAACCAACCTCACCTTATGCTTGAACACAGTTCCATCATGATTGAACTTGGTCCTATAAACCCACTTCATACATTTAACATTCTTGTTGTTAGGTCGATCAGTCAAGAACCATTTACCATTTTTCTCAATTGCAAAAATTTCTACCTTTATTGCATTAATCTATTCAGGTACCTTTGAAGCTTCAATAAAACTTGTTGGTTTAACAAAGATAAAATTACACATTTCATACACATCAGCTAATGATTTAGTTTTCATAACCTTAGCGTCAGTCGTATCTATTGTATCGAAACCATCACTAGTTACATCATTCTCAATATCATTAATTGTAACAACTTCTTCAGCCATTAGTGTATCATGTTCCTACACATCATTCTTTCTCCCAATTCCAATAAGAACCTTCATCAAAAGTGATATCTTTAGCTACTACAACTTTATTGCTTTCCAAATTGAAGACTCTATATCCCATGGATTGAGAAGAATAACTAATAAAAATTCATTTTTAAGCCCTCTAATTTAACTTAGACCTCATATTGGTAGGTATATAGCTGAAGTAGATTGAAGCAAACACTTTAAGGTATTCCACAAATGGTCTAAACCCAGACCATACTTCAAGAGGAATGTTCCCATTCATAGCCTTGGTTGCTATCCTGTTCATCAAATATACAAAAGTAACATAAGTTTCTGCCCAAAACGATTTGGGAAGATTTTTTTTCAAACAACATGCATCTTGACATATTCAAAACAATTTTATTCCTCATTTGACAAACTCCATTCCATTTAGGAGTGTGAGGAACAATGAATTGATGATGAATCCCAACGTCTTTGCAAAAATCATTAAACTCCTTGGACACATATTCTCCACCATTTTTCGTTCTTAAGACCTCCAACCTTCATACTTTGATTTTCACCAAATTTTTTGAATTCTTTGAAAGTTGACAATACATTCAGCTTAGACTTCAAGAAATAAACCCAGCACATTCTTGTCAAATCATCTATAAACAACACAAAATACTTGCTGCTATTCATAGAAGAAGTCTTTATTGGACCGCACAAATCAGAGTTAATTAACTCTAATTTCATATTTGCTCTCTGCACATCATCATGAGAAAATGACAACCTATGTGTTGACAAGTTTCACATTTATCATCATAAATATTCAACTTAGGCAAGTTAGTTACAAAGTCATTCGATTGCATGTACAAGTTCTAAGATTAAAATGGCCCATCCTTTTATGCCAAAGAGGAGTAAATCCGTCATTTGCTAAGTAAACATGTTCACAAACAAAACCAAGCTTCAAATAGAAATTGTTATTCTTAATTTTCATCTTAGCAAGCTTAGAACCACAACCATCAAATATGTTATAGATATCACCCTTAAACTGAACACTACAACCATTTTTAATCATTCGAGGAATACTCAAAAAACTTTGATCTAAATCAAGAATAAAAAGAACATTGTGAATAGTTCTTTTACCTTGAGGAGTATTGACACAAATCAAACCTTTGCCTTGAACTTGAACCGTAGCACCATTTCCCAACTTCAAACTTTTCTTCAAAGACTGATCAAGTGAATTGAAGTATGCTACCATAAGTGGCATATGACTAGTGCACTCACTATCCATAAGCCAAATGGAATTGTGACCTGGTTTAACAACATGAGAAACCATGAACAAGTGCTCGCCTTGCTCTTGCTTCTCTTCATTGTTATTTGCTTATTTTTGAGGTTGTTTCTTTGCTTGCTGTTGAGACTGCTTCTTTGCTTGCTTCTTTTTAGTCCAATAGAATTTTTCAGTGTGGCCAATCTTATCACAAAAGGTACACTAAAATGTGGTCTTGCCCTTATCCTTAAATCGACAATCCTTTTCAACGTGATTTTTCTTCTTACAAATAGTACATATCAAGAACTTTCCATTCTGACCAACATGAGAAACAAAAGCCTTACTATTGTTTGAACTTTTAGATTTCTTCCCAGAGTTGTTAAACTTTACTCCTTTATGACCAGCAAGAAAAGAACCTTCACTTGCCTCATGAGCTCGCATAGAAACTCATTGTTCTTGTGCTTCTAACTTGCTAACAAGATCAGCAATGGTCAATCTTGACATGTCACAAGATTCCTCAATAGCTGAAAATTTTGCTTCAAACCTTTGAATAAAACTCATCATGACTTTCTCCACCACATTTTCATCCGATAAGTCTTCACCATAAAGAAATATTTGATTTACAATGTCCATCAACCTCATTGAAAAATCTTTGATTAACTCATCCTCTTTCATTTGCAACATAGAAAATTCTCTCTTTAGTGTTAGGGGCTTAGTTTTCTTTACTCTATCACCTCCCTCATAAGTTTCCTTGAGTTTATCCCAAACACTCTATCTTTCTTCAATAATTCTTCACCATGAACTTTGAGTTAAGCAAGAGTGGGATTTGGTCTCAATTCTGGTGGCTCTTCATCAGTTTTTACAACTCTCCACAAGCCAAGAGATCTCAAATAGACTTTCATCTTAATTGCCCAAATATGGTAATGGGTTCTTGTAAAAATAGGAACATGTGTTGAAGGAGCATTCGAAGAAGCCATTTTAGAAAACACTAAAAAAACTCAAACTCTTAAAGTGTTTTAATCAATCACAAACAGCAATAGAACCTTATAGCCCTCAAGAAGAAGCTCTAATTACGACTATTAACGTTAAGTTAAGGAAATAAGCTTGAGAAAAAAAAGGAGAGAAGGAGCATAAAACAAAAGCGAAAGGAATTCAAAAGATCAAAATAAGATTGAGAGACTTCAACATACTCTCTTCCATTCTAATAAAATCATTTTGTCACAGTTGGAAGGTGAGAGGGAGAAGACGAAGGGTGAGAGAAAGGTATCGAAGAAGAATGGGGAGAATTGGGGGAAATGAAGAAATAAAGGTTAGGGATTGAGATTGAGTTGGGAAGCAATTACCTGAGAGAGGAGCACGTGAGGCGCACGGGAATTATTAAAACACCAAAACAGTTGATCCAGCAGATTCAAATGCTTGGTCCAGGAGATCCAGGTGATACACGGGTGGCCCAGTAAAGCCCAAGTCCTGAGGAGATAAAAAAATTGGTTAGCAAGGACTGGCCAACTGGCATAACAGATTCTCTATTTGCTTGTATATAAATAAAACAACAATGTAACGAAAAATGGTTATGAAATGAATGATGAACTTTCCTTTTCTCTAAATTCTCTAAATTCTCTCGGCATCTACTATCTCTATTTCTTCTCTATTTCTCCTCAATCTATAACAATTGGTATCGAGAGCCTCGGTTTCTGGCCAAGATTGGTGGCATACCCAAGAAGAATTAGATCATGGCAGAAGATTTAATTGGGTTGCAGAAACAAATGGAGGAATTGACAACACTGGTGAAACAAGGAAAGGTTGAGTCTAATCCTCCTAAATGGTGGGAGACTCAGGAAAATAGAATTTCTGCATTGGAGTCTAGGATGGCTACGAATCATGGATATATTACAGAAATCTTGAAGATTCTGACTGGTAGGAAGGAGGACCAAAACCAGTCTGAGGAGGATCAGGTACAGACCCCTGACTCATCTAATATGAGTAGTAAACAACCTGTTATGGTGACAGTAATTAATGATAAGACTCGATTTACTTATAAACAAGATGAACCTGGAATTCTTAAGTCTAAACCGAATGATTTGTCTGCTCATATAATTAGCTTTAAAAATGATAATCAAATAGGCGAGAACAATGCTGTTAAGAACAATACAATGGGCTTAGATGTGGATGGAAGAGGCACAAGGGTTTTTTTTTAATACTTCAGGGAATATGTTGCACAGGCCTAAAATCGAGCTACCTTTGTTTGAAGGTAGTAATCCAAGAGGTTGGATACATAAATGTCTTAAGTACTTTTCACTATGTAATATTGCTGAGGAACAAAGAGTACAAGTAGCTACAATGTACTTAACAGGAAAAGAAAAAATTTGGTTTGATGGCTATATTATGCAAAAACACCATGTTACATGGCATGAGTTTGAGGTAGACCTATATCATAGGTTTGTGATAAGGCCTTTGCTGATATAGTGGAAGAGTTTACTAAACTAGTACAGAAAGGGTCTGTAGAGGAGTATCAAGACAGATTTGAAGAATTACATCCTCACATGCTTTTGAAGAACCCTACTCTGGGTGAGGAATTCTTTGTCTCTTTATTTATTAATGGATTAAGGGATGACATTAAACATAGGGTCAAAGCCCTAGATCCTAAGACACTGTCTGAAGCATATAGGCAAGCTAAACTGTATGAATTGTCTGTTGAATTTGAAAGTAAAATATTATGGCCAATCTTTAGAAACCCATCATACTCAAATTCCCTACCTAATTCTAAGCCAAATCAGTTACCAATTCCACAAAAAAGTTCAACCACTTTGCAACCAAAACAGAATTTACTAGAGTACAGAAGGAAAAATAATTTGTGCTTTATGTGTGGTGAGAAATTTGTCCCAGGCCACCAGTGTAAAATAAAACAATTAAACATGATGATTGAAGATGAGATTGTTCTTCCTTCAGATGTTGTACCTACTGATTCAGAACAGCCAGTCCTACAGGAAGAAGAGAGCCTAGAAATATCTATGAATGCTATCACTGGGTGTATTGGATATAATACACTAAGAATTCAAGGCAGTATCCAAGGCAAACCATTGAACATTCTAATTGACAGTGGCAGTACCCACATTTTTCTAACACCACAGTGGGCTGAAGCTGGTATACAGGTGAATACACCTTACTCTTTAGCTATTAAAGTGGCTAATGGACAACAACTTTATAGTTCAGCAAGGTGTAATAAGGTTGAATGGCAAAGGCAAGGACACTCTTTTGTTCATGATTTCAGACTTTTACAATTGGGAGGGAGTGATATGGTGTTGGGAGTAGATTGGATGAAACTATTTAGTCCAATCTTGATGGACTTTAATAAAATGACTCTTAGTTTTGTTCATCAGAATGAACAAATTGTTATACATGATTAGCAACCATCTCAATTTTTGCATCAAATTTCAGAGGCTTCTTTATTGAAAATGACAGCTTTAGACTCTGTTATTTTGGGACATGTGGTGTTATTATCTATGACAGAAGGTTCTAAACCTATTCCTGCAGCTATTCAGCCTCTCTTAGAAAAATACAAGACTATTTTTGAGGAACCAAAAGGCCTTCCACCAGAAAGAAATCATGACCATGGTATTCCTCTTAAGCCAGATTCAATTCTTGTCAATCTCAGGCCCTACAGATTTCCACATAACCAGAAGGCAGAGGTGGAAAGGCAAATTGCTACTATGTTGTCTTTCTCTATTATTCAGCCTAGTAGGAGCCTATTTGTATCTCCATGCCTATTAATTAAGAAGAAAGATGGATCTTGGAGGTTCTGTGTGGATTATAGACAACTTAACAACATGACTATTAAAGATAAATTTCCTATTCCTGTTGTGGAGGATTTATTAGATGAGCTACATGGTGCTGTTTATTTTTCAAAGATTGACCTCAGATCAGGGTATTGGCAAATCAGAATTAAAAATGCAGACATACACAAAACTACATTCAGAACTCATCAAGGCCACTATTAATTTAAGGTAATGCCTTTTGGCCTTACTAACGCCCCTGCTACTTTTCAGGCATTAATGAATGAATTATTTAGTTCATTCCTTATAAAATTTGTGTTGGTGTTTTTTGATGATATTATAGTATACAACAGTTCTATGGCAGCTCATATTGCTCATTTACAGAAAGTTTTAGAGGTATTACAGACTAATCAATTATTTGCAAAGTTCTCCAAATGTTTTTTTGGACAAAACCAAGTGGAATACTTGGGACATATTATTTCAGCTGCAGGATTTGCTACTGATCCTACTAAAGTGGAAGCAATGAAGAATTCGTCTCTTCCTAAATCTTTAAAATCTTTGAGGGGATTTTTAGGATTAACAGGCTATTACAGGAGATTTATTAAAGACTATGTTGCTATCAGCAAGCCACTGACACAAATGCTTAAAACAGACAACTTTCAGTGGACTAGTGCAACTGTGACTGCCTTTGAAGAACTTAAAAGAGCTATGAGCAGTGCTCTAGTTTTAGCTCTCTCAGATTTTTCCAAGAATATTTGCTTGGAAACAGATGCAAGTTCAGGGGGTATAGGTGCTGTCTTATCTCAAAATGGCAGACCTATTGCTTATTTAAGCAAGGCTCTCAGTCCTAGAAATTCTAGCCTCTCTATTTATGAAAGAGAATATCTTGCTATTCTCCTGGCAGTTTCTAAATAGAGACATTACTTAGAGGGAAATCCTTTTATCATTAAAACTGACCATGAACCTCTAAAGTATCTCTTGGAACAGAAGTTAACTACTACAATCCAAAAGAAAGACCTTACTAAACTCTTGGGTTTGGATTATACTATTCAGTATAGAAAAGGAAGATCCAATGTTGTGGTAGATGCCTTATCTAGGCAATGGGAGGATCAGGGTCAGAGTTTTGCTATGAGTACAACTATAATCATTCCTAGCTGGGTTCAAGATGTGGAGGCTAGTTATAAAGAAGATCTATTGGCTGCTGATTGGATTTCTAAGTTAACTGTGAATCCTACCATTGATATTAATGGAGATATTCAAAGGGCATCCTTAGATTTAAGGATAAAGTTTATATTGGAACTGCTGGAACCTTAAGACTACAAATTCTCAGACATTACATGATTCACCTTATGGTGGTCATTCTGGAAGTCAAGCCACTTATCAAAGAATTAGATCCTATTTTTATTGGCCTAGACTTAAGGCTATGGTGGCAACCTATGTCAGAGCTTGTACAGTTTGTCAGCAAACTAAGGTGGAACATGTTGCTAAACCAGGACTGCTACAACCACTACCTATTCCTCAACAAGCTTGGGAGGTCATCACTATGGATTTTATAGAGGGGTTGCCTACATTATTGAGGAAAAACTGTATTTTAGTAGTGGTTGATAAGTTTACTAAGTATAGTCATTTTTTGGCTCTGTCACATCCTTACTCAGCAGCTGAGGTGGCTAGATTATATTTGGACCATATTTATAAGCTTCATGGACAGCCTAAAATGGCCATTTCAGACAGATATAAGACTTTCACTAGTCTCTTTTGGAGAGAACTAATGAAACTCTTAGGAACTAAGACCTATTTAGCACTGCCTACCATCCTGAAACTGATGGACAAACAGAGAGGGTGAACCAATATTTAGAATAGTACCTAAGGGGTCTTTGTTTTTATCAACCCAAGCAATGGGCTAAATGGTTGCCACATGCTGAGTGGTGGTACAATACCACCTACCACACAGCCTTAAAGTTAACACCTTTTCAGGCTCTCTATGGCTACAAAGCTCCTACAATGGTTTGGCATACAGAGACTAATGTACATGCAGTAGCAGAATTAATGTGTAGCAGGGAAGAAATCAAACAATTGGTCAAAGTCCAGTTAGAGCAAGCCAATAATAAAATGAAACAGAGAGTAGACAAAAATAGGTCAGAATGAGTTTTTCAGGTAGGAGATTTAGTTTACTTGAAGTTGCAACCATATCGACAATCTTCTCTTGCCTTGCGAAAACATTTGAAACTGGCAGCAAGGTTTTATGGTCCTTATAAAATTATTAAAAAAATTGGAGAAGTAGCCTATAAATTGGATTTACCAGATACCTCGTGTTTGCACCCAGTCTTTCATGTTAGCCTATTGAAGAAGCATGTTGGAGACACATCAGCAACTTCTACTGATCCTCCTGTTATTGATGATGAAGGTCAGTTCAAAATTGAACCCAGTAGAATATTAGGCAGAAGGATTATTAATAGACAGAATAAACCAATTACACAGTTATTGGTTCGCTAGACTAACCTGGACGAGACGCACGACACCTGGGAAGATTATTCAGTGCTTCGAGGACAGTTTTCATTGTTTGATCCTTGGGGACAAGGATCGACTCATGGGGCGGGTATTGTCACAGTTGGAAGGTGAGAGGGAGAAGACGAAGGGCGAGAGAAGGGTATCGAAGAAGAATGGGGAGAATTGGGGGAAATGGAGAAACAAGGGTTAGGGATTGAGATTGAGTTGGGAAGCAATTACCTGAGAGTGTGAGGTGCACGGGAATTATTAAAACACCAAAACAGTTGATCCAGCAGATTCAGATGCTTGGTCCAGGAGATCCAGGTGATACACGGGTGGCCCAGTAAAGCCCAAGTCCTAAGGAGATAACAGAATTGGTTAGCAAGGACAGACCAGCTGGCATAACAGATTCTCTATTTTCTTGTATGTAAATAAAACATCAATGTAATGGAAAATGGTTATGAAATGAATGATTGAACTTTCCTTTTCTCTAAATTCTCTCGTCATCTACTATCTCTATTTCTTCTCTATTTCTCCTCAATCTATAACACATTTTAAACATGATTACGAAACACAATAGTCTGAAATGTACATATGTCAAACATTAGGATTACGAAACACAATAGTCTGAAATGTACATATGTCAAACATTAGTGTCAAAGAAACACTTAAACTTAAAACAGACTCAAAACGGCTAATAGACATCATTACAGCTGACATACAAGAAAAATCTGATTTCCAATATATAATCTGGATTGCAACATAATATCTGGTTTCCAACTTAAAATTCTGGGTTGCAACCTAAAATCTGATTTCCAATATTAGACTCAATACATCAGCAGGTTCGTGCATATTATGGAACATTGTTTATGCTTCTGTGTGAAGGACAAGGATGGTTGATTGCTGAATCTTAATGAAAGATTTATGCTATTTCAAGTTAATTATAAACTTCCAGTGTAAAATTATCTTTTGTTTTAGCATTTTAAAACACCTTCACTGTAAGCTTCTTTGTCGATCAAAATCATCTGCCTTCTGTGTGTTCTTTTTTACATCTTCTGAAACTGCTTGCCATAGATCTCTTCTGACCTTTACTGTGCTTTATTTCTAAATGCTCTTTTATTTGAATTGATTTGAATCAATTGCCAGCACTGTTGGTCATCTGTCGAAGAGTGCTCAAGTTATGAAACTCTTAAACAACCTCATGAAAACATCACAATTGGCTGCCACGGTGCAAGAATTTAGCAAAGAAATGACCAATGTAATTTTAAATTTTAAAGTTTGTGTCATGAAAACTCTTATTAATTACCTCAGTTGCTTAACTAAATTACTTAGTGTTGTGTTCAAGTTATGGATAGATAGAGGGAGGTTGACAGGATGGTCGTTTCTTGAAAATTTTAAATTTTCTTATATTTTAGATTTTTTTATTGATAATTTGTTTTCATCTTTCTAATATTTTATAAGTCCGTTACTCCTAAAATGTTATAATTTCACCCTTAATATAAGATTCTACATCCATTTTTTATTAGAGTTAAATATGTACAAATAGAGACCATGGAGAAGAAAGTCTACTTAAAAGAGCTTGGCATTATGGCTTTGAGCGAGTGACGGTTCAATCGGACAATAGAGATGTAATCAAGCTCTTCTCGAAGCCATCCAATAAGAGTCCCTTCTTCCAAGTTAGAGCCATTGCCGAACTCTGTAGGAAAGCATGGTTTGTTGATTTCCATTGGATCGCAAGAGAAGTAAACAAAGCAGCTGATTATATGACCAAAAGTGTCTCCATTGCTGATGACTCCCTTTACATCCACGAGGAGCCCCATCTCGATCTTCGCTGTATCCTTCACAGAGACGTTCATGGATCCTCGTACTTATGTATTAGAGGCTGAACTATTATCTTAGCTTTTCCTTTTCATTCAAAATAAAAAATTAAAAAACTGACTTAAAAGATTAATTTAATTTTTAAAATATAACGAGAATATATTCTATTAATATAAAAAATAACAAAAAAACGTGATTATATAAACCTTAACGATTTGAATTGCACTTTCTAATTCATTTTCACACCCTTAATCCGAATACATTTTATATATTGAAACATAAAAGCAAAAGAAAGTAAAATGTGATGTCCAGAGTACATATAAAAATTGCCGACAATTAGATTCTGGGGCTTCAATTTGCACAGCTAAAGTTGAGAAAAAGAGAGTTTCTATGACCATGTTGGATTTTGGATGTGGGGACCAAACTTAAACCTCATCATCATTCACACACGTAAAAAATAATACATGTTTAAAGTAACGAGCAAGATCTAGTTAACTAACGTACTGTTATATTGGCTTAATACACTTTTAAGTGCTAAATTATACCTCAAATTGATTTTAGGTACCTAATTTTTTTCACCAAAAATTAGGTAACTAATGTTACACTTTTAGGAGCCTGGACCATAACGGCCGTTAAATTTGACCGTTATCTATCATGTGTTATGCAAATAAATTTTTAAATAATATATTTTTTTAAAAAATTATTACTATAATTTAAAAAAAACCCAAAATTTACTTGCTTTCACCGCTGATCGGCCACCGTTGGTCCGTGACCTCCGTGACCATCACCGTTGATACAATCAGAATCGTTTTGCTATGCGACCAAAACCCAGTCCCCCACATACCGTGAAACTGCGTCAATCGTCATGAAAAGCGCCCTGAAGGATTATCAGATTTCTAAGTTTTCCTTCACTGTTTTTTGACGATTCCGGCAGTTACAACTGGTCGTACATTACACGACAGCCACCATTGAGTTCCTTGTCTTGCTCCAAACAAAATCCAAAAGGTGATGACTTTTCGTTATCGCCGGAGGTCGGGGATGGGAGAGAGAGACGACGTGAAGAGGTTTTGATTTTTTTTCTTTTTTTTTAAAAAAATTATTATTAAAAATAATAAAAAAATTATGATGATAGGTACCTAAAAGTGTAACAGAAAAAATGTTAAGCGCCTATTTTTAGCAAAAAAATTCTTTAGGCATCAAAAGTATAGTTTAGGCACTTAAAAGAGTATTAAGCCATTCAAAATCATTATTTTAAAAAGATTTAGAGGTTTAAATCTTGATATTATAGTTAAAATAAAATAAATTTAAAAGTTATTATAATAATTTGTGTATTATTTTAATCTAAATTATCTATCAATAAATCAAATGTGGATACTAAACATAATTTATCAGGAGATCCAATGCATGCATTTTGCATCATTTGTGTATTAAGCCATTCATAAGTTGCTTGTTAAATGATATTTTAGGATTTGCAATCAATGCAACGATTGTAGCCAGAACGGCTGTAATACCCCAAAATTTAGATAGTGACCAAAATGAAAATTTTGAAAGTTTGATGACTAAAGTATAAACTTTGAAAATGTTTAGGGGCCAAAATGGTAATTTTAAAAATTTACATTTTTCCCTCGTAAATAAATAGTTTATCTCAAGAATAACGTTTATGTGGGAATCGGAATTTTAATATGAGATTTGTAATAAAAGTTATAAAGCAAAGAAGTTGAGGAAAAAATCGATAAATCAGATCGAATAGAAAATTTAGGAAAATCTGAAGGATGATAAATTAAACCTAAAAATATTATTTTCACATTTTGAAATGTTGGAAAATAATATAAATCTTTATATTTAAGGGTTTAATTCCATGTTTATTCTGGATCGTTGGATTAAAGTGGTAAGATTGTGATTTTTGGAAAAAGGCAAGGGCAATTCGATAAACTAACATCTTATTTGTTCATCTTTGACTTATGGAATATGATAAGGTTGAGGTGTCTTGGTTTAATGGTAATTATGAA